GGCCTTTCAGAATGACACGGGTAGCGGAATTGGGGTTTCCGTTTGTTCATACAAAAATCATTCTGATTTCAGTGGAAACAATTTTGAAATTATCATCATAGATGATGGAAGCCCGGATGGGACACAGGAAATTGCTGAACAATTGGAAAAGATCTATGGATCAGATAAAATAGTGAGTTGTATGTTCTGGTTTGTTGGGTTGTTTTTTTGTTTTGTTTTGTTTTTTTTTCTGTTTTATTACGAAGTACTTGAAATCCATAGAGAACTGGAACAGAGTCCCTGGATTCTGAACTTTCTGTACATCCCTGAACAAGGCTTTGCAGACCACTCCAGACAAGTGTAAAGTTACGATAGTCCTGCAGCTGTTCAGCAGCACTATGAACTGAAATGCAGAATCATAAATTAATATTTGCAAGATGTTTTCAGTACTTTGTGCGTTGCTGTGTGCTAGTGAGTAATGAATAGTGGTTGTTAGCATGCTTTGTGCATGCCGGAGGGAAAGATGAGGTTTGGATAAGCTTTAATTTCATTTTAAGTGACTGCAGAAATAGGGAAATGGGAAAGATGAAAGCTAGTCTGGTCTTGTGATTTATTTTTAATCTATCTAGTTGCATGCCTCAAGAACAGGACTTTTTTTCCTATTTAATATATTACCGTATAACCAACCGTTAATTATATACAAGAGTCTGTCATTTATTTAGTCTTTATGAGCCATTAAAGCCACTTTTTTGTGGTGGGGCAATAAAAGTTTTATCACAGAACAGTGTAAAATCCCGATGTTCGGTTTGACAGTTTTGTGCTGTGGAGCAGTGTCAGACACTTTCCTAATCTGTTACTGTGTAAATGGAAGGTTTTTACAAGTATTGGTGAGTTAAGGACCATTTGTAGAGATTGCTTTAAGAGCACTGTATATAGGATGTTTTAGAGTCTTTTTTCCCTATTTTTTTTATTTTTTAATACTAGTAATAGAGAATTTTAAAATAATTAGCCAACTTTTCCTCACTGCTAAGGGTTTCATTTTGAAGTTGAATCTGTAGACCAACTTTTGCAGCTGTGTTGAGCCAAGCACACTGGAGTGGAATTACAGGGAGGTACTGCTCTCAGCTCACACTGATATTACTGCAGAAGTGTAGATCAGCTGTGATTTCTCATTAGGTCACTTTTCTTTGTTTCCTGATTATTTTTTTTTTTAACATGAAATTCTTTTCTTTGTTTCCTGAGCAAAATCTCTGTTCTGACTTGTGCTCAGGAATCGTCATCCAAATAACTTGATGGAGCTTCCCACGTAGTACATTATGCTTACTGACCAGGGTACGTTGTTGACCTAATGAGAGGCCAATGTGTTCAAGGAAGTAGATGAGGAATCAGTGTTCTGTTGTTTTGGGTTTGGTGGTTTGGTTTTTTTTTTTTGGTAAATGTTCAAATTTAACTATTTATTAAAGGAAAAAAAAAAAAACAACAAACGGAAACCAAAATAACAAATCAGCAGAAGCACTAATGATTACTAACTCTTTCATATCCATGCCCCCCTCTGAATTACATTACTTATGACCTCTCAGATAATGCATCAAAATTAGCCAATATTTAAAAGTGAGATTTAAAATTTGTTTTTGAAATATATTTAGATGACTGCTTATTAGATGACTGCTTAAATGTCTACTCTCTCCTTCCCAAATGCTGAATTATATCAAAGGTGCTTTAGGAAAAGTTGAAAGTTAAATTACTGTTATGATGACCTAAAAGTTAGATTCCTCTTTTGTTAGTGGCGGTGCCCCCTTCTCCCCTGTGCCTCATATGACCCTGCAGGAGCTGAGGATAGTTGGCACAGGTTTAAGGCTTGGTCACTCATATTCTGCAAGATCAGTGATATTGTTATATGGTCATTATTCATGGATTATATCTATATGCACATGAAAATCTTGAATTTATATTCAATACTAAAAGTGTGCTAAATTACTTTGGGAAACTTGCTACAATATTTGCTTTTAGTGTCTGTCATTCCTTAACAGTAATGGTGCTGTGGAGACTGTTCAGATTTATAACTGTTTCAGATAGTAGAATTAGAAGAAATCCTTCAGTTACTAAGATGGTGCTTTTAATTTTGTGTTTTACTGCAGAACTACTAAGTAAAGTTTAAAAGGGTTTTTTGTTTAAATATGACCTGATCAAATACCTGTTTAATATAATGGTTTGTTTCTCCTGTATTTTGACAGATAAATTTGGGGGTTTTTATTTTATCTAAATTTCTAAGAATGAAAAGTACATTTTCAATTATTTTTATACCTTAAAAATAGCAATTTTTAAGGTGTCACTAAAATTAACTAAAAATTGTATTTTAAGTAACATTTGTATATTTTAATATATCCTGCAGCTTCTAAGACCCAGAGAAAGAAAGTTGGGCCTCGGTAAGTCCTTATCGACCGAAAAAAAGTCTGCCCTATTCTTTGATTGATTCTAGTGTACAAAGTTCCAGAAGAAATCACAGTAAATCCCAAAAGCGGAAATATATGTTTTCATAAAGTTTTCTGTAAGTGAACAAGCTTAAAATCTGCACACATGAAAATCATTGAGTATTTACAACAAGTTCCCCACAACCTCAAACCTGAAAACTGTGGCTACTGCAATTCTGCACAACTGTGTTTTCCTGTTACCATCATCCTGCTTCTCCCTCCCATACTGCATTCACTGATTACAGAATGAGGGGTCTAGATTGAGGAAAAAAAATTAACTTTTTATGAGAGCTGCTATTTTTTTTGGAACCTACTGATCCAGAGGGGATAGTGGTACTTTCTGTGCACCCTATCCACATGCAATTAAACCCATCTCAGTGTGAATTATGACTCTAATTAAATAAAAAATACATATCCGACAGATGTCCAGCACTCAAACTACTAAAGTATTGTCTCACCTATTAACTAACGTGAACTGAAGGCTTTGAAGTACATTCCAAAAGTTATTCGTATTGCAGAAAACTTGCTAATTTGGGAGCCAATCTTGTATCACTGAGATTGACTACTGAAATTTGCATGGAGTGATACAGGACTGCAGTTTTTTAGCTCTGATGCTGTATTTCACAGAATATGTAAATAAAGTTTGTCATTAGCATGACCAGAAGGTCGAGGGAAGTGAAATTTTTTCCTCTGAGGGTGGTGAGGCAGTGGCCCAGGTTGCGCAGAGAAGCTGTGGATGCCCCATCCCTGGAGGGGTTCAAGGCCAGGCTGGATGAGGCTTTGGGCAACCTGGGCTAGTGGGAGGTGTCCCTGCCCATGGCAGGGGGGTGGAACTGGATGATCCTTAAGGTCCCCTTTCAACCCAAACCATTCAGTGATTCTATGATTATTTGCTTTAGAAAAAAAGCAGATACCCTCGGAAGTCATAAACAACTTTAAAACTTGTAGAATTGAAACTATCCTAAAATAAAGTGGAGATATTTCCATCTGCCAAGATTCATGTTCTATCCTTATCCCTCCTCTCTTATAATAAGAATGGAGAAAGTGATAAAATGCAGTACCCTGTTTGATTTATTTGAAATCAGCATCTGCCTTTCTTACTAAATGTCTTAGCAACCGCCACTTCCACCTGCTGGTAAAACATTAGAGGTGTCCTGTGTACTGAGCACTGCAGCTAACTAATCTTTCCAGTCCACTGAACAAAAATAAAATTCCAATTTTGTTATTGAGCTGTCTACTTAAATGGCCTTTATATACTTTTTTCTGTATCTCATTTATCTAAGAAACTCCAAAAAGCTTACTTATTTATATGTTTACTGCCTTTTCATCCTTTGTCCTAATTTGACTGGTATTGTAGATGAAAACTGACTTGACTTAATTTTTTCTTGTACCATATCTACTAATCATGTACAATACAGAGATCTGTGATACTCCAACTGTGTAACTTTGCAAACAACATGGAAAAGAAAGTAAAGAGAGGTTGTTCATTAATCAGGAGTTTAGTTCCCTGTGAGAGTGACTACTAAGGACATCAGCTGAGTGTTTTGTTTTCAGTTTTGTCTATTCCTTATGAAGTTAACAGAAAGACTTGAGTAATTTGAATCAGTGGAGCGCATGTGCCAGATTTTAATCTCTGTTGTGCTGCTGTACTGTCCTTGGAAGCAGTGCTGTCTTTGAATTATATGACTTGGGTCAGAAATTTGCATTATTGAGGAAAACTGTAATAGCAAAACTTGTTCCAGTTCTTATCAAGATAGCTACAGCAGTTCACACAGGATGAATAAAACGCAACAAAATCTAAAGAAAGAAAAAAAAAAAAAAGGCTGTCTTCAGGTTAGGTATCAGGATATAATTGATGGTGTCAAGGAGAGCAAACCAAAATTTCTATACCACTAATAGTGAATTCTGAGTCGAGAAATCAGGGGGTTTTTTTACCTGTCAGTGATTATTTTGTTGCCTGTGTCCTATTTCTAGTTTTCTATGCCTCATAAGTGCCCTCAGAAAATGGTATTTCAAATAGTGACCCACTTACCAGCTCATGTTTCCCTGTGCGTTTCTAATGCAGGAGGGTTTGCCAAGGTTTATAGTGCTGAAATTGTAGG